TGTAGTGAATATCCTCTGTTGAAACTCAACAAGGTTTGGGGTTTAGGGATCAAGGGTTAGGGGTTACAGATTCATTGGTTAGGGGCATAGGCTATTGTGATGGGTTTGGGACTTAAAGAGTTAACCAGTGTGGGGTTAAGCATTAAAGGATGATGGGTTTAGGGTTAATAGGTTTCTGGCCTATAGGCAGAGCTGATTCGGCGTTTTTTTTTACGGAGTTTAGGTTTTGTAAATGTAAGATTAGGTCAGATTAGGTCAGATTAGGTCAGATTTCGTCAGATTACGTCAGATTCGGTCTTCAGGCCTTCGATTAAAGGGCCTAAATTGTAAACCCTAAAGGGCCAATAAAGGGCTTAGATTACAGTTTAGGCCCTTTAGGCCCTTTAGGGTTTGTAAACCAGAAAACAAGAAAGCAAAGTTACAACCAGTTCAAGAATTTAGGGGGCCTTAGCTGGAGATTCAGTGACCACCTCTGCAAGCCTTCGATTAAGGGTTTAGAGTTTAGGCCCTTTAGGGTTTATAAACCTTTGGAGTTTAGGCCCTTTAGGGTTTATAAACCTTTGGAGTTTAGTCCCTTTAGGGTTTATAAACCAGAAAACAAGACCGTCAAGTCACCCGCCGAAAAAAAAATTAGGGTTTGGCAATTTATGGCTTGAGATTCGATGACAAGTCACTGCCTCAGGAGTTCAGGATTGAGGGTTAAAGGTCTAGAAACACTTATAGAAAGCCCTCACAAGAAGATGACAGAGGTATGGCTAAGTTTAGAGTTTACGTCTGTCTGTTGAGGGTGCACTAATCCCAGCTTTCACGACTTAACACCGTTTACAGCTTAGCTTGAGATTTAGTGTCTATCCCTGGACTGCAGGGTGAAGGGTTAATGGTTAATGGTTTAGAAAGGTCACAGGACGATGATTGGGGCATGACCAGGTTTAGTTGTGGAAGTGTTGGGTGTCAGGGTTTAGCAATTGCAGCGTTAGGTTTAAGGGCAAGAAACTTAGAAGCCAGGGGGTCAAAGTAACCAGAATGTGGCCAGGTTCAGGCTCGAAGGTTAGGGATTCGGTTCCATCATTTTGCCGGTCCCATTATTGACAC